ATCATTTAACATATTATATGTGTAAAAAATAATAGAGGAGCTAAAAAAAGTCCGAATTTTAAATTTTAAGAATAAAAAAAGAGTTTTTTTAAGTAGATGGACTAAAAATTTTTTTTTTATCAAAATAGAGGGATCAAAAAGAGGTTTTAACCTTATTATTATTATTGACGGCCTTTATTCATTTATACATAAATTTTACATATTATATTTATATAAAATCTTAATTATTTATTTTTTAATTTTATTGGTTAAGATTTATTTATATTTATTAAAAATAATTTGTTTACTTAAAATATCATGAAAATTTTCAATTATTAAAAATAAAAAGATAAATAATTGAAATTTTATATAAATGTGATACGTACAATTTATAAATAAATAAATCATTTCTCTTATATATATGTTGTTATTCATAAGCAAGAGATGGCTCTACTATTAAATAAATATTATTTTGTAGGTTACATCTAAGTTTTTTTCTTTTTATTTTGAAATGTACAATTAGAGATAATTTTCTTTTAGACTTTTACATATTATGTTATTTGAATTAAAGATTTTTTACTTATATTAGAAGAAAATTTTACTAAATTACTTAGATTATTAACATATTAAAGTTAAGGTTTTAAATCTTGTAATTAATATTTTAAAAAATTAATCTTTTAAATAATTAAATGTTAATATAAAGCTTATTCAAAGACATTGTAATCGTTCAAACAAAAAATATGTAATGATATGTAGATTATTTTTTTACCATGCAAAGTACTTTTTTATATAACTTTTATATGTTATTAAATTAATAAATATATATAATATTACAAATTTTAATGAAATGAAAATAATCGATCATTAAATTATATACAAAGTTATATAAAAAAATTTTTATATATAAATAAAGATCTACTTATATATTAGTTTTACATATACACTTATATATAATATTACAAATTTTAATGAAATGAAAAATTTTAATGAAATGAAAATAATCGATCATTAAATTATATACAAAGTTATATAAAATTTTTTTTATATATAAATAAAGATCTACTTATATATTAGTTTTACATATACACTTATATAAAATATTGATAATTTATCTCTTTATTTTTAATGGTTGAGATTTACCATATTTTTTAGATAAAAAGATAAATATATTTAATTTGAATAAATTTTAACTATTGAAAATAAAAAAAATAAATAATTGAAATTTTGTGTAAGTGTAGTATGTAAAACTTATATATAAATAAATTTTTACTCATGTATATATATATATATACATACGAAGAATGATCTATTTATGTATAAGTTTTATGCATTATATTTATATAAAATTTTAATAATTTATTTATCTATTTTCAATAATTAAGATTTATTATAATTTTTTAAATAAAAATAATAATTATTTTTAATAAATGTAAATAAATTTTAATTATTAAAAATAAAAAAATAAATAATTAAAATTTTATATAAATATAATATATAAAATTTATATATAAATACATCTCTATTGTATATATATATATATTATATTTTTTTATTTAGTTAATTTCAGTCTGGCCGAGGGCAAGTGGCCATGTGAATATTGAGATTGGTTTAATTGAACACGATTGTCAAGGACTTCCAGTCTGTAATTTGAAAATTGTCATTTACACGAGATTGACTTGAAATCAACACCTCTTCAATTATAATTTTCTTTTTTTTTTTTGGAGTACAGATCAGGACCCCATTCAAGGAACATAAGAATTGTTTGTTTTTTTTTTTTTAGTAATATTACAATCATTTCTACAATATTAAAAAGAGAAAAAGGAAGGAAAATTTGGGAACTCAAACATTCAATTAAGATAATATTCTCACAAAAGTTAGTGATAGGCCACTAGGCACAAAGGTAAAAAACACATGAGAATTGGTTATTAACCCCATTCTTTTTTATTTAATTAATTTATTAATCTAAAACTTGAAATTAAAACTTTTTTTTTTTTTTGCAATTTAATAGATTAAGACCCTATCATGGAACATGAGAATTATTTAGGATTCTCTAGTCTCATTCCCAACATCTTATTTAATTATATTTTGGATCCATCTCAAACTCAGTGCTAGGAAGTAAAAGGATTTTGATGTTTTATAATTTAAATTATATTTAATTATATAATAATTTTTTAAAAGTAAAATATATTGTATCTGAGTATAATTATGAAGCTTGTATTGATCTCAGGAGAAAGCCACTGCAAAGTTGAAACTACCCATGTGATAGACAAATCAACTTGCAGCAGTGATTGTCAATTATTTAACTCTGGTTTTTTCTTTTTTTTGAATAATTTACGATTTGAGAGAGAAGAATTTTTTAAGATGTTGATAGGATTCAAAATCTTGATTAACCAATTCAATCACCTTAAAATTTAAAGGTGAATCACTTGGATTTGGATGTTCAATTCAATTATTTAATTTTGGTGGTGTAGATGTGAAAAAGAAAGAAAAATTTATGATCTTCAAAATTATATAATCATTTTGTAATTTTTCATGATGGATATCACTCAGAAAGACTTAAAAAAATAAAAATAAATAAAAGTAAAAGTAAAAATAAAAATAATAATAAATGTACTTTATCAAAGCTGTCCTCATAATACTCTTAGCACGCGCGATTGGTCGAGAAAATATTTGTCCTAACTTTTCCCTTATTTGTATTTTTAAGGTTATTTTTATATATTAAAATAAAAATTAAAAAAAAATTAATAATTTTAATATTTATTTTTTTAACATAATTCTCAATTTCAATATCAACCTATTAAAAAATATAAAAAAATTTACAATCTTAACAAAATTTTATTATAAAATTTATTAACTTTTTATATAGTTTTTTTCCCAATTATTAAAAATTTCGGTAATAAAGTTAGCACTAGAGACTGTTTGGTTAGAAATTAATTTTAATAAAATAATATTATATAAAAAATTAAAAATTATGATAAAAATAATAAATTTTATTATTAAAATTTTATTTAACTGTCAAGTTTTTTATAAATAGTAATTTTTTTGTCAACATATTTGGTAAAAAGTTAATATTTAATTAAAAAAGAGATGACTTTTCCATATTTTACGGCATTTCTATCCTATAATCAATTAATAAAAAAAGGGTTAACGGCCATTTAGTCTTCAAATTTTTAATTTTGAATATTTTCAACCTTAAATTATTTTTTGTATATTTTTATCTTTAAACATTAAAAAATTTATTTTTTTTAAATATGCATACATTATAAGTTAATAAGCTAAAATATGTATATATAAATACATTTAACAAACTAAATTAACAAAATAACAAAAAATATATTTTTTTATTATTTAAATATAAAAATATATAAAAAATAATTTACAAAGTAAAAATATTCAAAATTAAAATTTTGGGGCTAAAAATTCAAAACCAACTACTGGCTTTCTTCTCCCGTTTGTATTGCCTACCTCTTCTCCTTATTTCTCAATTTTTTGTCCTGAAAAACCTTATCTTATCCTATTCCTCCGGTCCAAAAAGGGAAAAATCAAAAGACAAAAACAAAAACCTCGCCTTTTCTGACTCCTATATATAATATCCCAAGACATGTTAAATTCATCTGTTGTGACATTGTCTTGCTTCAAAACATGGCAAAGATCCCTATCCTGTTTTCTTTGGTCCTCATAGCTGCCTTTGGCCTGGCCAAAGGCTCTTTGGCAGATGAGAAAGACAAGGTGGGGATTTATGAGCTCAAGAAAGGCAATTTCTGTCTCAAATTCACCAACTGGGGTGCCACAATTATCTCTGTTGTCCTCCCTGACAAACATGGTCTGTCACCTTCCTTTGATCCATTTTCTTGGTCATTTTTCTTGATGAATGATGCTGGTTTACCCATTTTTCTTTGTTTCTGTGCTTGATTTTCAGGGAAGCCTGGTGATGTTGTTCTTGGGTATGATTCAGTGAAGGATTATACGGTCAGTTTTTCCTTATCTTTCTTTGTGCCATGTTCTTATCTCTTGATTTGGCTTTTGTTCGTTTTGGAAAAGTCCCCATTGGTCTTTTTTTCTTTCGGGATGACCCCACGTAACAGAATAGTATAATCGGAAAAAATTAGACAACTTGATATAATTTGTCTACATTTGCATAGTCTTCCTATTAACCTCACCAACTGCTGTCCCGTGCGTTGCACTTATCTGATATAATTTGTCTGCATTTGTAAATTGGACTCTTAGACATAAAAAGAAAAATTGTCAAATTAGCAAAAGTCCCCTCAAGTTGAAGCCTTTTTATGCTAATTGTAAATAATGGTTATGTCTCTGAATTCATGGCCTCATTAAATGATTCCTGCCGTAAGTTATTTGGATCTATTGTGCTCTAGACTTGTTGATGATGTCCAAGTTTAGTCCTTCAAGCAGGTGCTATCATGTGTAAGCTTTCCCTTGTGAACTCCTCCACATCCGTATCAGCCAATGTAAATTCAATGTTTTTCTTTGTTGATTTTGATTGATTTATGGACAATTCCTTAGGTTACATCCAAATTTATTAGGGTTACACCGTTTCATTTGATTTGTTGAAACAAACAGATTCATCAAACTTTCTACATCTTCTTATGACCCTACATTCCATTACCATAACTTTATCTTCATATCCTTCTGTCTTTGGCAGAATGATACTGTTTACTTTGGTGCCATTGTTGGACGGGTTGCTAATAGAATCGCAGGGGCTCAATTTACTTTGAATGGAACCCATTACAAACTAGTTGCTAATGAAGGGAAAAACATACTTCATGGTATATAATTCTTTTATTTTGCCTTTGATTTCCTAATTAATTCCCCTACAAAGACCACAATTTCCTAAAGCATGCATTTTTTTACATACTTTTGTGACATTGTGTCGCAAACCTATGAATATCAGGTGGCCCCAAAGGATTTAGTGATGTTATTTGGAACGTGAAGAAGTACAAGAACAAGGGCCATGCTTCTTCTATTGTCTTCAGCTATCACAGCTATGATGGCGAAGAAGGTGAGAACATTCAGTTTCAACTTCTTTATAAAAGATGAATAAATGCTATGCAATTTGTATATGCTAATTGTTGTGTGTTTCTCAGGATTTCCCGGCGGTGTTAAAGTCTCTGTAGCATACACCCTTCTTGGTGAAAAGCAGTTGAGTGTGAACATGAAAGCCAAAGCCTTAAAAAAGGCTACACCAGTGAATCTAGCCCAACACTCATACTGGAACCTGGGTGGCCACAACAGTGGGGATATCCTATCTGAAGAAGTCCAGATTTTCGCATCCAGCTATACACCTGTGGATAGCAGCCTTATCCCCACTGGCAAAATTGAAAGTGTGAAGGGAACTCCATATGATTTCCTCAACTCCCATACCATCAAAAGCACCATCAATAAACTTCCTAATGGTTATGATATTAACTATGTTCTTGATGGTACTCCTGGCAAATTGAGGAAAGCAGCAGTGGTGAAGGACAAGAAATCTGGAAGAGTGATGAAGCTATACACAAATCAGCCAGGTGTGCAGTTCTATACCGGAAACTATCTAAAGGATGTGAAGGGAAAGGATGGATTTGTCTATCAAGCTCATGCAGGTCTCTGCTCGGAAACTCAAGGGTTCCCTGACTCTGTGAATCACCCCAACTTCCCTTCACAGATTGTCAACCCCGGCCAGACATACAAGCACCATATGTTGTACAAGTTCTCAGTGGAGGCCTAAACAAAGGATACCAAGTCTTGTTCCATGACCACTGAGATGCTTGCTTGTATTTTTAAGTCTAATGGTTTCTAGTGTAACCTCATGAGACTTTGGAGCAAAAGATATACTTTAGATCCTAATAAGATGCTGCCCTTTAAAATTTAAATTTTATTCATTCATTGTAGCAACTAGGAGCAAGTGAATTTATTGATCTATTATTTTATAAGAAGGCGTTTGTCAACAATATCTTTAAATAATTAAAGAAAAAACTTCTCAAAATAAAATATTTAAAAGTAAGAATGAGATATAATTTTGCCTTTTCCTAAAATGAGACATTTTTTTGTGCTTTTTTTCTTTATCTGGCCAATGAACACTAATATTTTATTTTATTAACAAAATGGTTAAAAAATAAAGAGAATTATATATATATTGCAAAATATGTCTTGGAAATTTGGACATCCCATGAGGGTAAAATTGTCGTTTTATGTTTAAATTACAAGGTTAGAAAGGTTTAAGCACCTTAGAAAAACACCAAAATGGCTTTATCGTCCTCTGCTACTGCCTCTTTCAACAGAATACAGAAGGAGATCCACTGCTTCCCTCCCAAAAGAGGTCTGTATCATTGTGACCATCACAAACACACCGAATTCTTCTTTGTATTGCTAGATATGATTGATTTAGCTTCACTTCCTCGTTAATTATCTTCATTTTTGTATGAGTTGTTTTGTTCAATCTGATTGATAATGCAGATAAATGGAACCTGTGCAATGTTCTTAGTAAGAAAGCTAAGGGAAGCCATTGTCGTTATAGGGTTTGCATCAAAATGTCGTCTTTTTCTGATTCTGATTTGCATGAATCTCTGACTCCATATGAGCAATCAAAGAGAGTGTGGGTATGGACTGAGAGCAAACAGGTCATGACTGCTGCTGTGGAAAGAGGATGGAAGACCTTCCTTTTCACTTCTCATAATCAAGAACTTGCCCATGAGTGGTCGTGTAAGTTAATTTAATTTCTCACCTTTTTTTCTTTCTGAATTTCTACATTATAGTGAGAGTTTAGCATTATTAAGTATTGTGTGTTTGTGGAATTGATTCTTATTTGGGTTTCTGAAGAAAAAATCCTTATTTTTATAAACATAAAACGAATGAGTAATTCGTCAATGGCAATGCTTGTGTTTATAATTTTTGGGTTTGGCTGTTGAATTTACAGCAATGGCATTTATAGATCCTCTGTTCATTAAAGAAGGAGGGGTTTTTGATGGTGAGAACAAAAGGGTTGCTACGGTACATGAGATTTCAACTCCTGAAGAACTAAAGAAGCTCCGACCAGAGGACCAGCATGCAGCAAATGTTGTTATTGATCTACAAGACTGGCAGGTATGCTGGTTGCTGACTGCAAAGTTCATGTGTTTAAATTTCTATGGATTTTTGTTAATTTCATACTTTGGAAAGTCATCTTGATCATCTCTAAGGGGCATAATGATAACTGAGGATAGAAAAACTAATTTCCTTAACATTTGTCATTGACATTGCTAATCAGAATGTCAAAGCTTTCTTTTGCACCCGCTATTACAAATTCTTGATCTTTTGCTCTTCCTCCATGAATTTTCCACCCCCCCACCCCCTAAAAAAAAAAAAAAAATGTTGTAGATGTAGCTGTTTCATTTCATGAGGAAACTTCTTAGGTTCCCTTGTGCTTAATGAGAATTCTGGTATATTTTCTGACATCAAGTTACTACTTCGGTATTTCCTGGTTAACACCCTTGCTTTGTGTTTAGTAGGTGATACCTGCAGAAAATATTGTGGCTGAATTTCAAGGCAGTCAAAAGACAGTTTTTGCTGTCTCAAAATGTCCCTCTGAAGCACAATTATTTCTTGAGGTATTTCTTATGTAATCTACTTTTCAGTTGCATAATGACATCCTTTAAATGATAGTTCTTTCTGTATAGGCCTTGGAGCATGGGCTGGGAGGGGTAGTTTTAAAAGTTGAGGATGTGGAAGGTGTTCTAGACCTAAAGGTAATTTGCTCTGGTTCAGTCCTTCTTTACTTGTAAATTATTTTTCATTAACTTGCCTTAAATTATCAGGAGTATTTTGACAGAAGAAATGAAGGATGTAATAGATTGAGCTTGACTAAAGCCACTGTAACACGAGTTGATGTGGCTGGAATGGGTGATCGAGTTTGTGTTGATCTCTGTAGTCTAATGAGGCCTGGTGAGGGTCTCCTGGTAAGCTTCAATTCTCTTTTCATGGTAATTTGGCACTTCTGTTATAACTAGCTTTGTGATGCTGTCAACTTTATCTTGCAAATAACTCTTTATCGGGTTGGATCATTTGATAGAGGACTTTTCCTTGTTCACTCAGAATGCTTGGAGTCAAATTACATTGCCAGCAGGCCCTTCAGAGTCAATGCTGTAAGTTGTGTGGAGGCCATTTTTTGATTAGATGATTTAGCCTGTTGTTTAATTTGCCATTTTTTTTCATTCTTGGGAAGAATTCTTGAAGCATCATTTTTCATCCATTCTATTATGCAATTCGATTATGCAATTCATTTAAGTGGTGAATATATTATAGTAAAAGTTGGGGCCTCTCTATTAAAGCCTTTTCTGATATGCAATTACCTTTTGGAAATTTTTCAGGGGCCTGTCCATGCCTATGTTGCTATACCTGGAGGAAAAACTTGCTACCTGTCTGAATTAAAAGCAGGCAATGAGGTGATTGTGGTTAACCAGAAGGGCAAACTGCGTACAGAAATTGTTGGCCGTGTTAAGATAGAAACCAGACCACTTATCCTTCTGGAGGCAAAGGTAAAACAAGATCCTATAATCCTATTCCAATCCCTTCTGAATTTTACCTTAAATCCATTGATCTTTAACAATGAGAAAAACCAGGTTCAGCCATCAGCCCGAAATAAATCCTAGTTTTAAGTTGCCCCATCATCTATTGTAATATATGCCAAGCCTACATGCTAAGTCTAAGAAGACTGTGTCTGTATGAGGTGAGGAACATCTATATATAATAATAAGACATTTGGTGGAGAAAGCTTTCATGACAAATCATTTGGGATAGTTGAGGAGAATACAAAAAATTCAAAATATAGCTAAATTCAAAGCATGGAATACCACATACATCAAGGTGGAAACTATTCACTTTGAGGTTTCTTATATTTGGCTGGAATTTAGATTTGAAGGTTTAGTTGCAGCCTATTTGGTGGGCAGAAAATGGTGGCTGAAGAACTGTAGTTGTCTTATTTGCTTTAATTGGGACAAGGACTTCTTGTGTAAAAAAGAGAAGTTAGAGGTTTTCTGTTTGTGTATATGTGTGTGTTTTTTTCTTGAATTAATGCTGTAATTTTCCTCCTGTACTAATCCTAAATAAGAAGATTGAATCCTCATGCCATTCAATTTTTAAAACTTCTGCTTTTACACAGAGATTCAGATGATCAAACTCTATACAGCATCTTTCTACAGAATGCAGAAACTGTTGCATTGGTTTGTCCCCTCCAAGGTCTGTTCTGGTTCATTATTTAGTTTCTAAAAGCTCTAGATGATGCAATCATTCAATTCATTTTTTTAAGATCAATTTTCAAAGTTCAACCTTGCTCTTGCAGGAAATGAACGACAAAAGACAGCCATTCCCATTACCTCACTTAAAGTTGGAGATGAAACTTTGCTTAGAGTACAAGGTGGGGCTCGGCATACTGGCATTGAAATCAAAGAGTTTATTGTCGAAAATTGAACAAGTGAGATATTTAACCATTGCTATGGAACAACTGGTGAATTACTAAACTTCCTTAGTGAACTGCTGTTATGACAGACTTAAGGAGCTTATATTTTACAACTTTAGTTCAGGTTGTGACCTTGCAAGTTTAAGGGCTAAGTTACGATTCAGCCTGTAATGAATGGGTACAGAGGGTTTTCTGAGCTGATCTTGGTGCACCCTCATCACTGGGTTAGTGAGAACATCTGAAGAAGGTGGGTGAGAGCGAGAAAAGTCATGTGGAAGACTAAGAATAATGACAAACTTTCAAGAGCTACTTTGTGTCATTGGTACAGTTTAAGGTAAGCTGATTCCATCTTCTTATATCTTTCTCTTTTGTGAAAATTTCTTTATTCTGTTAATTAGCTGTAGCTATATGTAACAATGGTGTTAGTGCCGAAAGGTAGAATGGCATTTGCAACGTAACTCTAAGTCAGTGCATGGTTGTCTTTTTTGTTAGTATAGTTCCTTCAATCAAAGAACCATGTCTCCAGATATTTTGTATATGTATCATGTTTGATGGATTAGGTGGAGCTGTTAGAACAAACACCGTTTCTTCTTGTTCCTTGTTCCATCATTTGCCTTGTTCTAGAAAAATTAAGAATAACTATTAAAAGTTTGAAACTATGAGAAAATTCAGAGGTGAGTAAACAAAAGTAGCAGTACTGTGACTGTGAAAAGAGTCAATTGTATCATGAAAGCAATTGAAAAAAAATAATAATAATAAAAGAAAATTTTAAGATTAGGGAAAAGTACTTTACCAGTAGTCCTCCCAAATTTTATTTCGAGGATATATCTAAAATCTCTCTTTTTAATTTATATTTTTAGAAATTAATCATTGAATTAAAAGTTTTATTCATATATATTATGCATATAAATTTTCATGTTGATTTAGCAGGCATAATCATTTCATTAACACCAAGAAATTTAACATTATAAAATATATATCAATAAATAGTTTTTTTGAAGGAAGGAAAATATCAATAAATAGAGTTGTTGGAATTAAATAGTTATAAGTATTAGTTTAATATAAAAATTAATATGCATGATCTACATGAATAAAATTTTTAAAGATTAATTTTAAAAAATATTAATTAAGAAGTAAATTTTTAAATAGGTTTTCCCAAGAAAATTTTAAGAGGACACACTATCCTCTTAAGATTAAAAGAAAATAAAATTGTAATGGTGAAAATAATAATAAAATAATGGATGAGTGTTTTTCAAATTGTATTAATATTTTTAGTTTAAAAATTTTTTATGATTGTTACCAAAGGTTTGCATAGAAGAAAGTCATAACCGACCGTATGCAAAGAATGACCGATGTGATGTATGGCCTCTCTTTTCATGGTTAGTTGGTTAATTTCAAAGATGAAAATTCAGTCGTTACGATAACAGAGAACCAAAGTCCTAGAACTAACTGCAATAACGAAAGGGAATTAACTTTTTCAAACACAGCATATGCTACAAAAGATCCTGTTCAATGTTTATCCCCAGTGCAGAGAGCCTATTAATATACACTTCTGCTCAAAAAGGGAAATATCTAGGCTTACCAGCATAACTATTAGATGGATCGGGGAAAGAATGTAAAATAAAAATTCATGCAACGTATCGGCATAGATATTTTTTGAAGTGAATAAAAGCTGAACAGCATGGATCTGTTGCTACAACATTGCGTCACCATACATTTGTCTTGCGGAGAATATTCTCCAAACTAGAAGAAAACTAAAAACATATGAAGTCGGGAATTTTGTGTCTTTATGTGGTAGGGAGGGGGCTTTAATGCCATAAAGCATGTCACTTATCAGTCCAAAATCATCCATGGTACTATAGCAACTTCTTTTTTTCTTGGAACAGTAAATTTTATTATATTACAAGTGATACTCTGAATTCATAAATTAGTTATATTATATTAGGTTTAATACCAATTTTATTCCTTTTGAGACATAGACTATCATTTTATGATTTATTTATAAAAAGAGGGGTAATTTTATGATTTCCTCTCACACAATATCTTTGAAATTGGTTAAACATGAGGGTAAATTGTCATTTTATGTTTAAATTATAAGAGTAGAAAGGTTTAGGCTTTGTTTTTAAGTTTATATAAACGCCAATGACGTAAGTAATTTAGTGTTCATCTTCTTCTGTTGGAAGAAAGAAATCTTGAATTCGAGTTGTATGGTATGCGGGTGAGGTAGGATAAAGAATGAGAGATAGTCCATTCTGTGACTAAAATAATAATAAAAAAAGTTTATATATACTAATGAAAAGAAATACTCCCCTAAATAGTCCCCTTGGAAAGAGCATATATCCATTCGTTAGGCTTAGTCATTGCGGGCAATCAAAAGAAATTTCTACTAAATAGTCCCCTTGGAAAAGTTGTCATTTCGTGCAACTCATATCTCATGCTGTTAACCGGGAGTGGGTAACAACCCACCTTGAGCGCAAAAGAAAAGATGTGTGGAATGGATGTGTACACCTTGTTTCTTAAGGAGTATTTCCTACATTTTTATATAGTGTCAATGATAATTGAAAAAATTATGTATAGAAAGATTTTTTTTTTTTTTCATTTATCATCTATTATATGTAAAAATTAAATTAGATAAACTGAAAAAGACCAAAAGGAATAATAACTTCAACATTTTCGAGTGATAGATTCCTACATACAATTAGGTCACCGCAGTAGTCTTATTTGCTTTATATTTCCAGGACAGCAAAACGATACAAGTTGAATTAATGCTGTAATTTTTCTCATTTCATAATCCTAAATATGCATATAGATATTGGTTGATATACATTTCGATTCAGCACATTATGCAATACACTTATTAAAAATTATTATTTTAGTCTGAAGTTAAAAACAAATAAATTTAAAGATGCAATCATACATACATGATACATGAACTAATTAACTTAAATGTATTTATATCATAGTTTAAAAATTGAACTAGACAAATATTAAAAAAATTTATTAAATCAAAGATATATCAATCAGTTTCCATTCGCAGATTAAACATTCATTTTCCATTAGCTCACTTGTGGCTTTATGTTTCTTTGCTTATATGGCGTTTATTATCATAGATTTGCTTGATGTATATTATGTTCATTTATCAATAAATCTATGGTTATTTGATACAAAAATAATTATTTTCTGTTACCAAACTTAAATTAACCAAAAGTTAATGTATAAGCAACCCCAAACGCACGATAAGGGTGCAGCTGGTTTGCAGAAATGACTTGGTAAGAGGTTTTGGTCCCTTAAAGGAAGTCATGACCGACTGTATGCAAAGACCATGATACATGGCCTCCCTTTGGGGGCCCCCATAGGCGACTCTAAAAGTCTAATCGCAATCAAAAGAAATTTTCACGAAATAATCCCTTGGAAAAGTTTAGCCATTGCGTGTAAGTTGAACGCATGGTGTTAACCGGAAGTGGGAAACGTCCCGCCTTGGCCGCAAAAGAAGAGATGTATGGACGTTTACTTTACACTTTTCCCCTAGAAATACCTTACCATATTATATAATACATAGTGAATCAATGATAAATAAAAAAATGACTTGATTTAAATAAAACTACTTAATAAAAAGTATTTATAAAAAGAAAATTTTTAATTGTCATTTATTTGTCATTATATAAAAATTTTAAGTCAAATTTATATAAATCTCAAATTAGAATAATTGAAAAAAAAAAAAAAAGAGGGAGTAGGAACTTCAACGCATTTCGTGTGATGGATTCCTGCATAGAATTGGGACACTAGCTAGCTTTATGGAGGCTTCCCCTTTTCATTTGTAGCTGATATTTTCTTCATGGAAATAATTAACTTGCCATGACCAAATTGAAAAAAAAAAAATACTACTCAATCTCCAAGTCCTTTAAATTTAAATTTAAGAGAAAACAATTAGGCCAAAAATGGTGGGATATTCACGTACATCTTTGTTCTACAAAAACTAAAAAATAGTAATCACAAGATTTAATAAATTTTCCTTTCTTTGGAATCAATATCGATTTTTCTTACAGAAATCATGAGAAAAATAACTTGAGAATAAGCTGGATCATAAATTATCAAAGATGACCCCAATATTAATTATAGGCTACAAATTGGGACACTTATTAGCATATCTTTTTTATTTAATATACTATACAATATATTTATTAAAAAATTATTATTTTTCTATTTAGAATTAAAAGTAAAAAATTATTTTTTTTGTTTGAATTAAAAATATATAAATTTAAAGATGTAATCATACATATAAAATATAAGAATGGATTGTACTCATATTATATTTTAATAACTAAAATGAATAAGTACAAAAATGTATAAAACTAAAGAATATATACATCAATTTCCTAAAAATTGTGGAAGTTTTATTGTCTTCTGTCATTGTATTTAGTCCCTTAAAGAAAAGTAATGAATGACTATATGCAAAGATCAATATGGTAGGCAACTTCTTGATTACTTTCTAAGAAGAAAATTCAGTCATTACTCATTGCAGTAACAGAAAATTAAACACCTCAGTTGTGGTGTGTCCTCTTCATTCATGGATATCAAGTTTTTGATTACAAACAAAGACCGACTCAGCTCTAAAAGTCCTAATCAAGCTTAATTTCTACAATGGAAATAAATTTCATTCGCAATTTCAGTAGATGAGTCCAGCTTGAACAGTTGTCTTTGAAGGGAAGACAATTAGTAAACAAAAGAAATAAAGCAGGCTCAAGTTGTTTTGTAATTTTTCCCTCCCTCTTTGGGTATTGAGTAATTTCATAAAGACAAAAATGAAGTGAAATCCTTAATTAAAATTATTTTAGTCAAATAATTTCAAGTTCTTAAAATACGTTATCAAGTCATCTACTGGTCAATCGAACTAACTGTTCAAAAAAAATTAAGAACAGCGATCAAAAGTTTGAAACCATGAGAAAATACAATGATAAGAGTAAAAGCAATTCGAAAAAAAAAAATAAAAGAGAGAGAAAAAATTAAAAAACCTTTGTGTCTAACCAAGCTACGGCCTAGCCCATTCCACAAGGTTATGCTCCTCATTTGGTCGGTTTTTGTCCATGGATCTTCGGCCCGTCAACATCTCGAGTAGAACCACACAAAGCTTTAGACATCACTCTTGGACTTCAGGAGCCTATGTGTCACAATTTTAGTTCAGGTTGTGACCTTGCCAGTTTAAAGGCTCAAGTTACAATTTAGCCTTTCATGAATGGGAACAGAGAATTTTCTGAGTTGATCTTGGTGCACCCTAATCACCGGGTACGTGAGAACAGCTGAAGAGGGTGGGTTAGAGCGAGCAAAGTCATGACTACCAGCCCAAGAAAGGGGATGGAAGACTCAGAATAATGACACAAATTTTCAGGAGCTGCATTTTTTTGAAAACAGGCCAAAGCTGATTCCATCTTCTTATATCCTTCTTTTTTGAAATAATTTCTTTTTTTTTTTTTTGAACAGTTTTGTCGAACCCGCCCAGGGGAGGGGATATGCACTCTTCAGTGATTCTAACCATTGGGCCACTCGGGCCAAGTGCTTTGAAATAATTCTTTATGCTGTTAATTAGCTGTAGTTGTATGAAACAATGGGATATCTGTGTGAATCTAAAAGAAAACGATTTGGCGACGAATAGTGGAATACATCTGCATTGCTCTAAAAAATTTAAGAATTATAACTATCAAAAGTTTGAAACTATGAGAAAATTCAAAGACGAGTAACCAAAAGTAGCAGTACCGTGACTGTGAAAAGACTCAAGAGTGTCGTGAAAGCAATTCAAACAAAAAAAATAAAAATAAAAACATAAAAGAAAATATTAAAATTAAAGGATACGTAATAAAATGATCAAACAGTGTTTTTAGATTTGCATTAATATTTTCAATATTAAAAGTCGCTATGACCGTCACCAAACGCAAAATAACAAAAGGTTCGCACAAAAGAAAGTCATGACCGATTGTATGCAAAGAAAGACCACTGTGATAATCCCAAGAATTAAATTTATAGATAAATAAATATTATTTTTTAAGTCAAGTTTTAAGATCAATCTTTAGATATAATTTTAAAAAGTTAATTTTTTTTAAATATATTAGATCAATTGAGAGCTACTCCCTTAGAGATCATCTTAAGAGGAGATGTATTAATTTCAAGTTATGCAGTAACTAAATCAGAAATAT